ATCATTACTAAATAAACTAAGTAATCTTACATCTTTGATTATACTTGATATATTTTAGTCCTTAAGTTTAACATCATTGCCAAATGAATTAGACAACTTTACATCTTTGACTATACTTGATATATCTAAGTACTCAAGTTTGACATTATTGCCAAATGTACTAGGCAATCTTATATCTTTGACCACACTTAATATATCTTCTTGCACAAGCTTGATATCATTGCCAAATGAGCTAGGCAACCTTACATCTTTGACTACATTTGATATATATTCTTGCTCAAGTTTAATATCATTACCAAATAAATTATATAACCTTATATCTTTAATTATACTTAAAATATCTTTTTGATCAAGCTTGACAATATTGCCAAATAAAGTAAGCAACCTTACATCTTTAACTACACTTAATATATCTTCTTGCATAAGCTTCACATTATTGCTAAATGAACTAGGTAAGCTTACATCTCTGACTATACTAGATATATCTTCTTATTCAAGTCTGACATCATTACCTAATGAACTAGATAACCTTATGTCATTGACTACACTTAATATATCTTCTTGTACAAGCATGAAAATATTGCCAAATGAACTAAGCAACCTTACTTCTTTGACTATACTTAATATATCTTGGTGTTCAAGCATGATATCATTGCCAAATGAATTAAGCAACCTTATATCTTTGACTAAATTTAATATATCTAGTTGTTGAAGCTTGATATTATTGCCAAATGTATTAGGCAACTTTACAACTTTGACTACATTTATTATATATAGTTGCTCAAGCTTGACATCATTGCCAAATGAATTAGGCAATCTTATATCTTTGACTACATTTGATATATCTTGGTGCTTAAGCTTGACATCATTGCTAAATGAACTAGGGAATTTTATATCTTTGACTACATTTAAAATATATTAGTATTTTAACCAAATATTATTGATAAATGTATTAAAGGATCCTACATCTTTGATTACTTTTAGTATATTCTAGTATTCAAATTTGACATTATTATCTTTTAAACTAAACAATTCTATATCTTTGACTACACTTCATATATCTTGATAACGTAGCTTAATATCATTACTAAATAAAGTATAAACTTTTACATCTTTAATCTTAAAAAATTTATAATATATTTAAATTTATTATTATTTATAAATAGATTAAAAAATCTTACATCTTTGACTATTTTAGATTTATTCTAATACTTAAGCTTTAAATCTTTACCTAATAGATTAAGTAAGCTTATATCTTTGATTACATTATATTTTTATTAGTAATCTAATTTGATATTATTGCTAAATAGATTAAATAATCTCATATCTTTGACCACATTAGGTATATTATTTTTTTCAAGTTTTAATATAATTACAAAATAGATTTAAAAGCCTTAAAATCTTGTATATTTTTGATATGTCTTAATTATAGAGTTTGACAATATTGTCAATTAAATTAAATGGTGTTACATTGTTTGCAAGACTTTATGCATGAAAATATAGAAAATTGAGTTCTTTTTAAAATAGATTTAATAATCTTCTATTTTTTAATTATTTAATATATTTAGGTATTTAAATTAGATCATATTTTTAGATGGATTGGATAATCTTACATCTTTTTTAAAATAAAAAAATTAAGATTTTTACATAAAAGATGATATTGACTCTTTTTTAATTTATATAATAGAATCAAATAGAAATAAGTAGAAAAATATCTTGTAGATAATATTTTCTTCAAAAAATTTCTAAGAAGCTTTTTAATTATAAACTAAATCTATAGATGATTCTACACATAACACGTACTTTAATAAGCTTCTTATAGAAGTTTATTGCTATTATAAAATTAATATAAAACCTTTGTTATGAAGAAGATTTATTTTGGATAAATACAAGGTTTTTAGCTACAATTACAATACTTTTTAAAAGTAAGTAAAAGTAATACATCTAAATATATAATTACTTGTAATAATCAAATATTTTGTTACAAGATGGTTACAAAATCATATTCAAAATTATAGATTTATTATACTAAAGTTCTTCTTCAACTTATTTTACAATATCTTTAATTATTTCACATCTACACTATATACATATTAGGTTGTATTTGCCACTTATTTTATATATATAATATTATTGTAAATCAATAAATATTTTATTTTATTTTATGTAATAAAAATTCTATTAAAATAGCTTTAAAGTTGATTTTCATTACAATATTTTTTTTCATTTTAGAATTTTTTTTACTTCAAATTTATGCTTTGAATTTAAAAGTATATATTTTATGAGTTACTTTGAAGTCATCATGTTACAAACAAAGTTATTATTTTACATTGATTGTTGTATAACTTAGAATAAAACACATCTAATAATTAAAATATCAAATTAAGTAAAAAAGCTAGTTATATATTTAAATATTTATGAAAAAAATATAATTATTTTAAAAGAAATAAATAGAAAAAATGAAAAAATTTAATAATAGTGAGGTAGAAATTTAAATAATTAGATACATACAATATACTTAGTGTGTTAAATTTAAATGATGAAGACTATTTTTAAAATAATTTAAAGTTGGTTTGAAGGAAAAAAAAAATGAGGCTTTAAATTTGAAGATCATAGAAATAATCAATGATTACTTTATATAATAATGACTAAATTAGTAGCAAAATTAGATTGAATAAAAGAAAAAAAACTCAACTTAGATCAGTTTTGATAAATATATAGATAAAATATTATATAGAAGTTGATTAAAATAATTAATAAAAATAAATTAAAAAATAAATTTAAAATATATTAATAGAATAAAATTATAATTAAATTTATTAATTTAGAAAAGACTCTATGCTTTTATTTCTATCTCTCTTTTTATCTTAGGATTTTTTCCATACTCCTCTATTCTCTTTTTTAGATAGGACTGCAACAAAATTGTTACCTAAAAAAAAAATATAATGTTGTGAAGTCAATGGCTAATAGATTAAAGACTTGTAAATCTTGGATAAAAAACAACAATTATTATTAGTGATATATGACTTTAAAATATATATATATATATATATATATATATATATATATATATATATATATATATATATATATCATCTTTTGAACCTATAAATGGTATATTATATAAAATATTTGAAAGTAAATTAGATTTGTGATAAAATACCAAAACTAGAGTTATATTGTAGATACTTAAGTCAAGTAAAAATTGTTAAAGGCTAGTAAATTTAAGATACTTAAGTCAAGTAAATCCAATACCTATATCTTTTTAATCCTTTTTTATACATATATATTTTTAGATTTATAATGCCTTGCAATATAATTTTTTTTAAGTTGAATTATATTTGTATTAAATTCTCAATTTAAAAGTATATTATGAATATCTTTAATTATCATTGGCGATTGGAATTTAAATGTATGATCAAATATCTAAGAAATATAATACAAATTTTAAGATCTATTGATATTTTGAAATGAAACTTGTGCTTATAAAATGATTTTGAGATGTGGTATAAAATTTTAAATATAATTTTATCTTTTTATGTACAAGAGTATTTTTTATCTTTAATTAATAGTTGAGTGTATAAGAAATTTCATCTTAGCAATTTAATCTATGATCGAATTCCATTGCTTAGAAGAACTTGCTTTATCAATCTACAATTTGTCAATTTGTGGCTTTTTTCTTTAAAAGAAATTTTATAATACTTTTATTAAATTTTTTTTCTTTTTATGATGATTTTAATACAAAAGAGTTTATAAAACAAGATCATAAAATCTTTTATTTATATTCTTATTTAATTTCCAATCATTATTTTTTATACAAATTATATTTTCCTTATGCATCTTCAATAAATTTCAATCAATAGTTTATATGAATGTGTGGTTTTTTCTTTGCTCTTTCTTAGCCAAAGTCTATAGTGACATTAATATTTTTGTCTCAACATTTCTTCTTTAAATTTTTCTCTTTGAGAGCTGCAAGGTCTTGACTTACAATAGATAATACAAGATTCTATCCATAGTAAAGAAATTTAATTTGAAAGCAATTTAATGTTCCTTGTTTTTAATACACTAAAAAAGAAGAATCTTTTTGTCATGAAACATCTACAGTAGACAACCTATTTCTGATAACTTAAGCATTTCAATATATATCTAGTAGGTGTAAAAATAGAAAAAACCTCCATATGGGAAAATAGAAATTAAAAGGATTTTAAGTGTATTCACACAATTTGGTCCAAAAACAAAATTTACATAAATGTTTTAGTTGAAGATTCTCTTTGATCCATTTTGGATATAGGCCTACCTAATTTTAATCAATGGTGGATTAAAAAACAAAGAATCCAACTTTTACAAAACCATGATGTGTGGCACCTATTAATGCTATCAAGAGAGGTGTGATATCTATTTATACTATTATTCTATCTCAACCAATCAACAACTACCAACTATTAATAGTTCACACAAACCCCTTCCAATTACAATGAATTTAATGTATTGCTATTATAGTATATTAGAAATGGGAGGTAGTTGACAATGAGTCGAATACGTTAGATGATTACTTAAAGCACAAACTTTAGTGTATGAATCATACTATACATGATGCCTTGTGTTGCTAAATCTTTGTATGAATGTAAGTCTGTTTACTGTTTATTTGTCGATTTTCGATGAGTTGGAGGTAGATGCAGCTGGATCTCCCGGCAGGAGTTGATATAGAAGTGAATTTGTCATACGTTTGAGAACGTTTTTTTTTTTTTTTTTTTTTTTACTTCGTCGTTTTAATTGTTAAATACGTCGAAGTATCTGTATATAGATTTCCTCACATGGGTGTCTTGGACGATCAAATATTGAACACAATGGGAGGATGAATTGGGGATGTATTTTCATGTTGTGTTAGCCGTCGCTGAGACTGAGCACTGGATCGGTAAAAAGTATTCGTGGGCATTGCGTTCTAGCATGGCGACCGGATCCAGATTATTTAGACAACGAGAAACTCTGCTCATTGTGTCTCTTCAGAATGCCATGTTTGCCAAGTAAGCATACATCCAGACTTGAACAGACCAAAGGGTAGTGGGCTGTTCCAGCAGCAGGCTGGCGCGTTGCGGGGATTCTAAGAGTTATTATAACAGGAGTCTAACCTTTGGGCTCCTGCGTGATAAGGTCGCGACCCTGTTCATGAGCTGTGCGCCGCCATCCTCCTCAATTGCATGCATCTATGGACGCAATCTCTGGATTGCGAGCCCAGGGACACATGGGGAGCCTTCTGGTGATCTTCTAGGGTTCTTTACCACTATGACAAAAATTTGATTTTTGTCTAGCAGGCCTTCCATTACTTGATCGGAGAGCAGCCAAGTATCGAGGTTCGCTCATCCCTCGGCATGTCTGAAAGTTTTCAATGGCAAATAAGGGGACTGGTAAATGTAGGATTGCCGGCAATGATCGTTGGCTCATTCTTTGCTCGTGGACTGGTTGTAATCTTCTTCCAGTTCATTCTGGATTTTTACATTTGAACAGTGCGTAAGTATTGCCATCAGGATGGCGCAATCTGAATGTGCGGTGTGGGTTGTGTGGGATCTGTATGGCGGATCTGGTAAGTTGAGAGCAAGGTGTTCGCAAAACAAGTTCGCTAACTCGGGGCGCTGGAGGCTTACGAAATATCTGAGCAGACGAGTAGTGAGGTTATTCTGCTTCCTTGAAAGTGTCCGCAAGAGTATTGTCGTTCGAGTAGGCGCGCCATGAGCACGGTTGCACGCTGATTAGATCACTATCGAGCATGATAGGGTTTGACATTCTGGGTGATGGCTGAATTATCATGGCGATCCCGCTATTTTGAGTCCTCTGTCAGCACACTCTTGTTTCCAAGCGGCCGAGCCTTGCAATGACTGCGAAGTACAATGAAGCTTAAGAAGTCACAACAACATGCACGTAGGCTGGAATCACTTCGAAGGCATCGATCAATTGGGGAGTCGTCGATTTTAGGGCACTTGGAATCTTCCAGAAAGAGTAATGTGAGAGAGCATCACGTTTTGAAAATCTTGGAGGCCGATTTTCGACAGAAATCATGATCATAGCAGACGACATACTGAGCTTACTAGTGCAAGCAGAGAGGATACGAAGCAGAGTGACGGTGGCCTAGCTGATAAACAAGCCTATTGAGCCACAATGCCGGAATTGGAGAATAGGATATGGATGAACATGCTCATAGCAGGTGCTGCGGTGGCTGCCATTACTACCGTGGTGATTGCCTGGAATAGTACACAGAAGGCCCCTCTCGTGAAAACTCGCAACCGGGCACTAGAGCTTTTATACGAGTTTCAGCATGCGGCTGCAACTCCTTTACACGCTTTGCGGCAGATTGCGGAGCACATGGCCATTGAGATGCGTGCAGGACTGAGGAGGGGCGGCAAGAGCAACCTTCTCATGCTTCCTACTTACGTGGAGAATCTTCCGGACGGGTGATCCCATATAACACCTAAGTCGCATTTGTAAACATCCATTTCATCTTTGGACTTCGCCACCGGTTGATAGAAATTTCGCAATTGTGTGAGGATTCGCAACAAGGTTTAGAAAGTTTTGATACTGTGTAGTACGCCAAAAAGCTGGTTTCTGTAGCTGGAGGTCCGCCAAACTTGCGAAGCTAGAGGTGTGATTTCTAATCAATGCATTGCCCAACGGAGGTTTGTAAACTCCGCTTCAAAGTAACCTCGATTAAGGGCATGTTATGAGATTTACCAGCAGAGTTGAGTTCTTCAAGCGCAATTTCCAGTCATTCTCTAGTGAACACAGGTTCAGGAACCAAATCATGTTTGAATTTTCAGTTTCAGTGTTGAATTTCGTGTTGCGTCGCACCGGATGCTCAAAAAGCTACAAATTTAGCACCACATTCAACTAACACTAAGGTCGGATCCTGAAATTACATTAGTCATTTCTATTCTGCAGAGACGAGGAAGGACTGTTCTATGCTTTGGATTTGGGGGGTACCAACTTTCGGGTCCTGCGCTGTCTGCTTGGAGGGAAAGATGGCAGGGTATTGAAACAGGAATTTGAGGAGGTCTCCATACCCAAAGCGCTGATGTTGGGCACAAGTGCGGTGCGTCTCTCTTTTAGAAAACGTTACTAACTCTGCAGCTTAGTGATACCGCACGTAAGCACCAAAACTGATCCAAAGTAGCTTCAAAATCGAAACTTCCCGCACCTCTTTTGATCATGAAACAGCGAGGTATATAATTTTTTCTTCTGAAGTGTGAATTATGGATTCTGTCAATGAATGGACGGAATGGATCTAGATTTTTTTTACTGTCATTTATTATTTTCTTACTATAAATAATCTAAAAGAGGAGTAGGGTAGGTCAAGTCGTGCAGGAGCTCTTCGACTTCATAGCGGAGAGACTGGTCGATTTTGTGAGCCGAGAAGGAGAAGGGTTTAAGACGAGAAACGGCATGCAACAAACAGTTCGCGAAATGGGTTTAACGTTCTCATTTCCTGTCAAACAACAATCTGTGAAATCGGGGGCCATAATTCAGTGGAGCAAGGGCTTCGACATTGCTGATGGGGTACGCATCAACGATAAATATGTAAAACGTCTCATGCATCGACGCCCCAATTCGTAGATAGGCTTGTATTTTTCTTCTGAAGAGAACACGAGAAACAACTGAAGCTGGAGTAATGAGAGAGTTAACATTCAGGTTGGAGCAGATGTCGTGGCGCTGTTGCAAAGTGCAATAAACCGCCAGCGTGGACCGAAGATTGAGGTGGCTGTCTTGGTACGCTACCCCCATTCCCTTATACCACGATGCAGTTCATTATATTACCTGCCCAATGATGGAGATGTGTTGATAAATTCTAGTGATATTAATGTCTTCGCATCTATGAAAGGCATATTGACATTTGCATGGAAGAGCCTTCTCGTGTAGGTCAATGACACGGTGGGTACTCTGGCTGGTGGGCGCTACTGGAACGAAGATGTGATGGTGGGAATGATTTTGGGGACAGGCACCAACGCTTGCTACGTAGAGCATGATTTGCCCAGCCACGTCCAATCTGGATCGGGCGAGATGGTCCATCCTAGCTCTCTTTTCTACACCCGCAGTATTACAACACAGCTGCCTTGTGTTTGTGTTAGTGGAGAGTGTGTTTTAGCATTCTTAATATTATCTGTTGTTGCGGACTGTGATCGAATGCAGATAATCAACATGGAGTGGGGTGGGTTCTGGTCGTCACATTTGCCACGGACTTTCGCCGATGAGCAGCTTGACAAGGAGAGCCTCAACCCCGGTCAGGCGGTACCAATCTACCACTTTTTTCTCCTTTTCTCCTATTTTCCTAGTTTTCTCGGTTTTTGCCTTCCCCTGTTTGGGTGATGGAATTAGGGGATTGTGTGCAGGGTTACGAAAAAATGATCGGCGGTATGTACCTGGGAGAAATAGTTCGTCGAGTGTTGTTGAGGATGGAAAAGGAGGCTTCACTATTTGGTGGTCCAGTACCTTCTAAATTAAAAGAGCCCTTCAGTTTGATGTAATGACGTTCACCGTGAACTCTGTCTGCACTTGATATCATCATATTACACTACCTTCACAACCATACCAATGCCCCACACAAACATGCGATAGTTGGAGTCTGATAGATCTTGTATCAAATTTATGATCGTGCCACTCGCAGAACTCCAGAGATTGCCAAGATGCATGCCGATGAGTCAAAGAACTTGCGGGTGGTGGCCAAAGTTTTGAGGGACGTGTTTGGGGTAAGACTTAAGATCCCTGGTCAACTGTACGTGACACTAAATATATGAATGACATCGGCACGGTTTCTAACGACATCTTCATTGATATACCAATCGAGAGCCCTTTGTTTTTTATTTTATTTTATTTTACTTTATTTTTTATTTTTTATACTGAGTTTCAGTTGGATTCGCTTCATAATGATCTTCTCTTTGAGACTTACTTGAATCGACGAAGGATTGTGAATGCTGGTCGGTGGATGCTGTGCAATCTAGGTTCAAAAAACCGATTTGGCAGCAAGGAGGATCGTGCACGATGTTTGTGACATTGTAATCATGCGCAGTGCAAGGTTGGCGGCAGCGGGAATCGTGGGCATTTTCAAAAAAATTGGGGGCGAGGCTTTCGACTCGACGGATTCAAGGACACTCACAAATCTGCACTGGGACTCCCAAGAGCCTCAACAACTTGACACAAAACGAATTGTGGTGGCCGTGGACGGAGGGCTGTATGAGCACTGCACCCAATACCGGGTCTATATGCGGGCTGCTGTGAATGAGCTTCTGAGCGAAGCAGGGGCAAAGCGATTGCAAATCGTGTTGTCCAAGGATGGGTCGGGCATTGGAGCAAGCATCCTTGCAGCACGTCACTCCCAGCATAGGTAAGACATACAAACCTGTTCACGATTTTCCCGAGGTGGTTGCCTAACTTCATTCATATCACACCACCCTTGTTTTTTTTATCTTTACGTTGTGTAATGTTTTGGCCAAGCCTGAATTGGAATACGTGTTCACTCACTCAATATTAGCTTATGGTCATCTAGGATTCAGGTCCTATTCTTGCCTGCCTGACAATTGGGATGCAAACATTGGTGTCAACTTGAACTCGATTGATTTTCAATACCTACGTGATCATGCCAAGTTCTTCATAGCTCTTGCGAAAGTTATAGCTTCATGGTTTTTACACAGTACCTTCGATTTTTTTGCTTCACAGGGGTGCGAACAAAATCACGTGCCCTATGGAAAGGCCTTCTGAAGCTGCGGAGAGGCCGTCGGTGCACTTATGTGGAGGAAATTCCTCCTCCTGTTCACAACACACACAATCTGAATTACCGCCCAGAAGCACACAATTCACACAATCTGAACCAACACCCAGAAGTACACAATTCACGCAATCTGAGCCCCAATCTAATTGGCTACAAGCTACACAACATTCTGTTTCATACGTCTATGGCTTGGAATACATTGATTAGTGGTTGGATTATGTTACTGTGTATGTATGTAGAAGACTCTGGAAGCAGCTAAGGTATGCAAGGTGAGGAATTCAACAAGTTAATCGACCCATCCTCACATTTACTACTTGCTTACAGAATGTAACATATATATCTCTTCAGAAACTAGACAGGCGATCACTCAAACTGTGAATGAGACTGGCTTATATTGATAAACATGTGCACATGGGAAATCTGTTAACTATACAGCACTCAGACAGATTACTCAATTTTTTTATTGCGGAACATGTATTTGATAACGTAATCCTGAGAAGTATTCTGCTACACTTTCTGAACCTTAAAATCAAACAAGTGTTGAAGTTGTTATGGCTTCGTAGTATTCTAGCTACAGCAACTTCCAGATTCATTTACTCAGAGGACTAAATACATGTCACAGTTTGCCAGTGCTGATGATGCCGAACAGTGTAACTCAAGTCTTGAACTAAATCTTCTGTCTCTCCGAAAGCATTGCAGATGATATAGCATACAAGCCTAATTTGTTAGCAAGCTGTATCATCAAGTTATGCATTAGTTAGACTTCCTTTTCAAATTATGTTGAAAAAGTTGGATTTTGAGTAATGTTTCAGAGTCAATTATAATGACATGATGCATAATGTAATGTATGCCACATCTGTCAACGTACTTCACATCTTATTAAGAATGGTTTTTGTTAGAGGCCTATATTTATACACCTTGAAGATAAGAAAAAGGAATTTTAATTTTGATACCTAATTTAAGAAGGGTCTCAGAAAACTAACTATTCTTCTAGTGAATGCAGGATATTATTCTAAAACTGGGTACCATAAATAAAATCCTTTGCATCCATGGGGGCTAGTGTTGGTGGGGGTGGGTGTCTTATAAGCCTTTTATTCGGGGTCTTGATTTTTTAATAACTTCTTTTCTACTCCTGTTGTATGGTGATGCCTTCGTGGATTCGTGAATTAGTTCAAAATTGGTCTTTTATTTGGAAGAGGTTTTTTAGCTTTTTGTAGGAGCTTTGCCTTGAATTGTTTGTCCATACTTTGTTACAGATTGTCGCAGTGTGAGTTGTACTTGTGTTTTTCTTTTGGGTTTTTATTGTTATTTAGTTTGTGAAACATTCTGCAAGATGCCTATTTTCTTGATTGAATGTCTTGACTTGAATATGTGAGGCAGATGGTTCTAATTTTTTTAATTAAAAAAAAACAAAACAAAACAAAACAAAATAGCCCTCACTTTATCATAACTAAAATTAAAATAGTCAAACTTCTTACTTTCTTGGTTGAAGAGGAATCTCAAGATTTGCAAACAATTTATTCATCTGCATTACAATACCAAAGTGCATAATCTCTTTAATTTTTTGCCCAAACACACTTACGTTATGTCTTGACCACTACTCTTTAATGGCATATGAACCAAATTAAAACAATTCCTTATTAATTTCTAATTAAATTTTACAGGTTTTGACAAATAAATTTATTAATGAATAAAAAAAAAATTTAAGACATTGGCATTTAATTCCATTTAACTAAGACTTTTTTTAAATGTCTTTTATGTTTTTATGTATAATATTATTTTTAAAAATTTTTAATTTGTATTTTTTTAGTTATTTATTAATATTAATTTTAGAAAATACTTATATTTTCTATGCAAACTTTAACATCTTATCAGCAAGCAAAAGCCTTTTAGATGGTTAGAAGTCATATTGTATTCAGAACCTCATATGATTTGATAAAACTTAACTAAATAAGTGTTATTTATACTAGTTAGATTATCACTAGATATATGATATCTATTAAAAAATCCATGGTAAGATTTTAAACATAAATTTTGGTGGGTGTAATTTATTTTGCTTTAGCTACAAGTTTGTCTTAAAAAAAATCAAACGATTCTATATTTATACATTTAAAAAATAAAAACTTAAATAGATAAAGTTGAATGCATATATATATATATATATATATATATAGTTAAAGAAAAATATCTTACCATTTGAACTTTTGCAATTATGTTATTTGAACCTGAACATCAATTTGATCTGTAAAGCTTAATAATTATCTTTTTCATTATGTAAAATTTAAAGGAAAATGATATATTTGAATACCTTATCTTAATTTATTTGAATATAATCTATAAGAAATTTTTCAATCCAAATCTAAATATTTTAATCCTCGCTCAATTGTTTTCATAAAAATATCCATAATAATTACCATATTCTTTACTTAAGGATAAGTGATAATCTTGGCATCATGTGGTATAAAATGAATTTTCAAAAAATAAATTCATAAAAAAGAAATATATTTGATTAAATTTCTTTATAATTATTTTTATAAATTTAATTAAATTAAACCTATTTTCTTAAATTAAAATGTAATAGACATTTTCAAATATTAATTTCATAAAAAATCCAAAGATAACAAAGAGATTTAGTATTTGATTTATGATATTTTTTTGAATTACCAAATTAAGTGTAATATCATGCCAATAATTAACTATAAAAAAAAAATTTAAACAAATCCTATTTTTTTTCAATTACTATTTTTTTAAAATAAGAAAATTATATTGCTTTAAGAATTGGATCTACTTTCATTCAATTCTAAAAACTTTAAATCGAAATGCACGTTGTCTTTGTTCAATCAATACACATTATATTTTAAGTAATATAGCATTAGATCTTAAATATTTAAAATAAAGAAACTCAAAATCCAAAATATCTTCTTTGTACAAAATAGCTTATTATCATTACTATTTTAAAATATCTTTACATTATTTTTTATTTTTTATTTTTACATGTATATTATATGTATTTTTATAAGCAATTTTATGAGTCTTAAAAGGAACGAAAAAATAAATTTTAAATCATTTTTTTTACCAAATTATATACTAAATTATATTTCTGGATTTGTTAAAGCTATTTTATACAAAATAAAATTTATATGATTTATTTAATAATTTATAATCTTAAGAAACAATATACAGTGTCTTGTTATTATTCTTTGTGAAATTGAATTATAAAAAACAGTTAGAGAACAATCCAGCAAAACATTTCGAATGATTAATTTCAATAAGAAAAAGTTTTCTAATTTTAGAAAATTACTTGAGAGGTGGACTATATCTTTAAAAATTGGCTTGCATGCCTCATGGTATTTAAAGAAATTCTCTTAGATATTTTACTATCTCGTATATATTGAAATAAGATTGAAGCCATCTTTAGTCTTATCATTGTTTTACTTGTTTTTCATTGAATTTAATAGAAATCATTGAATTCAATAGAAATTATTTTTCTATAAATTAAAAAAAAAAACCTATGAAAAAATAATAATAACAAAAGGATATTTTCTATAAATTAAATTTATTAATTATATTGACTGTTTTAGAAGAAAAAATTAAGAAGATATAAAGATCAAAGAAATTTCTTTAACAAGTATACTGCATTGAGTTGCTATTTTAATTTTAGATTGTTACAAAATTACAATCTGATATATCCACATTTGTTAATCTAGCACAATTTATTCTTAAGTTCAAAAAAAAAGTTATCTAATTCTAATATTTCAAGTCAAGATCATTAGAATCTTACTAAATCAAGTAGTTTCTATCTTGGTTTTTATTGTTTTGAGGTGTAAAAGATCCAAAATTAAACTATTAGACACAATTTTATAATAACTTTGATTTATTAATAGAAAAATTTATGATAATTGTGTAATAACATATAAGATCTAAAGAAGATTTGAGACTTCTTTTGTGAAATCACTACTAAACTTAGTAAAATCATGGCCTTAGAGGTCTTATAGAAAATGTTTTATGCTAAGCTTAACACCTTAATAAAGTCATTAAAGTTTTATAAAAAAAATCTTATGTATTAGGTTTGTAGATGTGATATAGATAAGAGAAATCCTAAGAATGCAAAAAAAATTAAAAAAATTAAAAAATAGTAGTTATCACATACTTCAAAACAAAGTAGTAGGAGATTAAGTTAGAATTAGTTAAGAGTAAGTTAATACAGAAACATATTGTAAACAGTTGTAAATTAATATAGAAACATAACTTACTAATTTCTATTTCTATTTATCAGAGGTTATTATACTAAAGCATGTTCCAAAAGCATAATTCTTGAATATAAAATCAAAAATATAATACACCCTTTTAAAATTAAAATTATATTTTTGAACTGTAGTACATAAAATAGACAAAAATAAAATATTACACGTATATACATACATAAATACATAAATACATACATATATGCTTTTTTTAAAACCTATGCAATTCGCAAACTTGTTTAGAACTAATGATTCAATTCTGTAGCATGTAATGCTCAAATTATCTGATTAATACAACAAACCTATGCTACATTTCTATATATATAGATAGATATATTTTCTTATTAATATTCATTACTATTGTCTAAACAGAAAATACTATTTTTAAAATTTCAACTGGACATACTCTAAACCCTGCTAATGTAAAAAAGAACAGAATAAACATAAAATTTTAATTAAACATGTGCTGAAAAAGAAAATACATGGACCAAATTAATCCATCCACATGCCAACCATGCATGCGTTCATCATCCATCCACGTTTCATCCACTATTTATCCACCTCTCGCGAACATCGACACATCTATGTTCTCGGGTCCAAACAAAGATCTACATGATTCGTGATTTGTTGAGGAATCTACGTTTCGGAAGGTTGAATGTAATACCGGAGGGGGCTCTGCGGCGGAGAAAGTCTATATCATCCTCAACGAGATCGAGAATTCCTTCGTTCGTTAGTTCGTTCGTTCGGAGGAATTTCTCATGCGCAGGATGACGAATGACTCGGAAATCGCAGAAACTAAGTGTTAAAGGGATAAAAAGAAGAAGCATCGGCACCAAAATTAGGAGCCCAGCTTCCTAAATTTCATCACCGGGGCCCTGGAAATGAAGGAGCCAAGGATGAAGGGTGACCTGTTGTGTTTATTTATTTTTTTCTCGAAGTGATCGACCGGAGGCGCTGAGAGCGGCGTCGTCGTGGACTTCCAGAATACTTACTTAATGTAATCACGAATATTAAGAACCCAATTTTTTTTAGTGACACTATTGGCTTTGAAGACTTGGAGTGAGTAACTTGCAGTAAGTAGGATGTGTCGGTGGTGGTCTTGGAACACGGAGGGATCCTCTGGTGGCTCCTGCTGACGATCATGATGCTCACCAACAACAACCGTGACAGCCAAGACACTACTCCGTCTACTTCTAGCATCCCCCCCGCCCAGAACCAAGCAGCAGTCGATCTGAGCTCTGGTGCGGTTTCCTCTCTCGCTCTCTCTCTCTCTCTCTCTCTCTCTCTCTCTCTCTCTCAATATATAGTTCCTTATTATCGCCTCAGTGTCTGTATGCCTCATGTGTTCCATTAGGGCGGCCACTCGTCATGGAGGTGATCAATTCACGCTTCGAACCACCAGCCCTCAACAGTGCGGGAAGAGTTGCCAGTTTCGTGAACATTTCCTCTTTAATCTTCGTCGATCAGTAGGAGGTGTTGTGCTGGTGGTGCTGTGTGTTTCCGTGGATCGTGTCCAGTGGATTGTTGAAGGTGGTGATTTCTTCTCAGTGTAACTGTGATTTACGAGGAAAGTATTGACTCATTGATATTGCCACCATAAGGAGATGGCGACGAGGGTAATCCAAACAAGAGGAGGAAGCCGGAAGAGGACTCTGATAATAAATTCGAATGCCGCTTCTGTGACATGAAGTTCCCCAAATCCCAGGCTCTGGGTGGACACATGAATCGTCACCGGGTGGGTGAGTGCAGTTAATTTTTAATTTTATTTATTTATTTATTTATTATTGCTGTTTTTACTACTGAAGCTTGATTCAGAAGCCAACCCAATTTTGATATCCTTAGGTCATGAGGCCAAACATTCTCACACTTTTCATCCTTTTCCTTCACCCGCTCCAGCTAATTATTATTATTATTATTATTATTATTTTGTTTGTTCCATTTTACTTCCTAGTATTATTCATATGGTAGGGGATCTAGTTAAAGAACACACACAAACACAGAGAAGTATGTGTGTGTGTGTATGTGTGTATACACCCATATAAATGGATATGTGCACCTCACTTTTATTCACCTTATTTCAGAGAGAGAACACGAGGAGATACAGAAGGCAAGAAATCTTCTAATTGCACAGCAGCATCATTCTCCACCTTATTATGCGGCTGCACAATATTATTCTCGAATGTGTGTTCACCATCCTCAAGCTTCTTACAATTACTAGTTTTCTACTACCAAGTTCTAAAAGATTTTGTTTTTTGTTCTTGTTATTTTAAGAATTTCTCATTGAACTAGATGTTTTCAGATCTGTTTGGTTTCTCTTCTATTTTTTACAGCTTTGGTGAACTTGAATTTACAGGGATGGTGCAAGCACTTCTGTGGATCCGACTAGAAATTTTTCTTCAACTGCAGGCTCCTTCATGACACCTCAGATGCCATACTACCAACCTCAAGCTCAATCGAGTGTGCAAAACTGGCCTGGGAACCAACTTCTCCCACTGCAGCCAAATTTAGATTCTGCCCATACAAATCTACAAGGAACAAACTATTTGAATCCAACTGACAACACGAGACCATACCAGAGTCTGCCAATGCTGCAAAGAGAAATCCCGATGCACGGACTTCAACATCCGCAACACGCGCCTCAACAAGCGCCTCGAAGTGAGTAAAGCATTGCCCACATTTCCAAAAAATTAAAAAAGTGAAAACAATATTTAATAATAAAATAACTACAACAAAAGCTTGTCATATTTATGTAGGTGTACACACACACATTTATATATATATGTGGAGAGAGAGAGAGAGAGAGAGAGAGAGAACGATCGAGAAGAGGTGGCGATGACAAGAATGTGTTGCAAATTTATCGGTGGCGTGTAATTGTAGACTCTGTTCCTCTGAACTACTCCGATGCGAGGACGCTACTGCACAGCTCGGACCCTGGGGGAGGGATGCTGCAGTACCATTTCGAATCAGGGCAGCAGCTGCAGCATCGATTTCTCCAAAACCACTCGGGAGGATCCACCTTGCAGGACGTTGTGAGCCCACCAAGCGCCAACAGCAATCAGCAGCAGCAGCTGGGCCAGAGAACCCATAGCCGGACCACGTTCATGCAGCATGCACGCGAGCGGTTAGAAGTGCAGGTGGATCAGTCCGGCAACCTGCCCCAGTCGACGCACAACCCATCGCAGCAGCAGCAGCGCCATGGCCATGAAGCCAATTACGCCACTAACCCATCTGCTGTTGCTGCTGCTGCTGTTGGGGAGCTTCCCTCCCTTCAAATCCAACTTGATTCCGCCCATTTCCAGGTGCCGCGACCATTCTCTCATCACTCATCCTTCGATCACAAACCTGACGTTGTTGGTTCGATGCTGTCTGGGCTTGGCAACGGGGAACCAGTCGGTGTCGGTGTCGGTAACAGCAGTAGCAGCAGCAGCAGCGTGTTCCACTTGGCTGGCCTGGATGATCACGACCCACATGAGTTCCGAGCATCAGCTGCGATGGATCCTTCCGACCGAGATGCTCTACACACCCACCTGGAAGGATCAGCGGAGACCTGAAAACCATATATATATATATATATATATATATGTATTTACTTATTATAAAATAACTAACAAAATTTTGTAGGTATGCTTGCTTCTTTGATATTGGTTGATAGATAGGTAGACATATAAACCAAGTATGAGCAAAACATTGAGTCAAACTGATCTTAAGCTGGAATACTACTAGTACCCAAATTTGCAACAATAATAGAAAGATGTGTTGATGAAATAAAGTGTCAAAAAAGATGTTGTGAAATTTTATAGCGATGTCTTTTGAATTATGTTGTGTGTTAGGTACCTTCACTACTCTTCACAAATATTGAAACAATTGCCATGAAAGCAGCAATTATGTAGTTATTTGTGATATTGTAATCTTTTCTAGTATTAAAAATGAATATAAATATAGTTTGCTGTTGTGCTTGGACAATTAGTATACAATAAATTGTAACTAAAACCAAGGAATAAATTGTCTTTTTTATGAATTTTTTTGAATTCTTGGGTTGTGTTATAAACGATGGAGGTATAAAACCCAGTTACAGAAAACACAAAACTATGAAAGGATAGAAATTTCCAACTATATATTAGATTGTAGTTCTTTCATTTTGAAACGTGCAAATTTTTATAAATTTATTATAAATCTTTCAAAGTATTTGGGACTTTTAGCTCATCTTTTATAAAGAGATGATTGATAGAAAAAGTCTTAGTGGAATATATATATATATATATATATATATATATATATATTTAAATTTAAAAATTTAAAACTAAGTAGAAGTTAATTGGAAGATGAATTATATGTTGTGAATCACTTATTATTGGTCATTATGAAATTAAAAATAACATGAATAATTCTATAAAATCGTACTATTGGCAAACCATAGAACCCAATACAAAGACTTATGTGAAGAGATGTTGCTGTGTTAAATAGGAAAATATATTGAAAAATCTAAGTTAAAATTTCTAGAATTACTCGTAATTTAATAAATATCATTTACACATATATTTTTTAGATTTTAAAAATAAAGTCTCTTTGAACTTTATGACAAGTATGAAGCATTTTTTTTTGTTGTGGTTGACAAGCTCAATAAGACATGAAGGTTTCTACTAACAAAGACACAGACTACAAAAATTATGATTGTGAACCTATTCTTTGATGGATAGATCATTCTCTAGAGACTATCTAAAAATATAATAAGTGATGAACATGTGCAATTCCATACAATCTTATGACAAACATAATGAATAAATACATGATCAAGAACTAAACTCATAGTAAATATAATTTCGTACTTTAAAGATGATGGTCAAACACGATAATATATAATGTTTAAGCTTCAAAATAAGGCCTCAGAGAAGCAAAATTGAATCACCCACACAATGATACAGAGCAGCACAGAATCTGGAGTTGGTTTTGCACCCTGGAAATGAAATTGATGCTGCCTGAGTTGATGATGTTGTTGCTGATGCTACTTTTCTTTGGCTCTCAAGACATTGTTGTATTTGGCAAATATATATATATATATATATATATCAAATGTATCTCTATTGGTCTTCTTTTTGAAAAACAATTATACCTGAATACTTTATTTTGAAAAAGTTATTTTGGGTATATGTCTTTGATAAATACATGGTACTTGTGATTTTATTCAATTCCATGATTAAAGAAATTGTCTATGTATTCTTTAAAAAAATCATTTGATATATTATTAAAAATTGCAGGATCATTTGTTAGTCCAAACATCTTGACATTGTATCAAAAGTATCTACATCTTGTACAAAATATTTTTTTAAAATACTCTTTTTATTCTCACAAAGTTGCAAACAACCTATATTTTAATCTTTTGACAGATCATCGGTCATCAAAGTCGTTTTGACGATCTTAAGTATAACAATAATAGAAAGTAGAAATTGCATGATTTCTTTGTTTAGTCTGTAATAATTAAAGAGTATTTTAAATAAATTATATTATTTCTTGAAAATTAAACAGAATTTATTACTGGCAATTTTCAATTTTGAGTAATTTAAAAAATATATACATATTTTTAATCTTTTGTCATTTTTTATATGCAATAATTTATGGAATACTGTAGATTAAGGTGGGGCTTCTTCTTTTGGTATAATTACACAATTATATTGTCATTAGGTGACATGTCATTGTTATATTTTTTTTTAACTACATTTTTTACAATTACTATATTAATTTATAAATCTTCCTTCAGATCTTCTCAATTAAATTGCTTGATAGCACAGAAGAAAAATTATATTTCTGAAATAATTATTTATCTCCCAAAAACCTAGGATGTAACATAAATCTTTATTTCTTTATTTGAAAAACGTTTTAAGGAATATTTTTGCATTGACCACTCTAATTTATGCTTAGATTATTTAAGTTTATTTATTTATTTATTAAGTACCAAGTTTTGATTTCAAATTGAATCTTTGTCAATTAAAACAATATTGATAACACAGTGTCTTAAAATAATTTCGCATAAATGTTTCTAGATTCCGTTTACAAACATATAAATGTTTTGTGATAAGATTTTAGGTTTTAAAAATGAAATATAATAATATAAACTGTAACACCCAAACAGTGTCTAGCTGCATGGTCTTTATTGTAATTACACAATCTTATTTTCCAACTATAATTAAACTTTAAGTCTTAATTTATTTTTTTAAAAAAGTCATTTATTAAGATTTCTTTTTTTGAAATGTATGTTTTTGAGACAATCATAAATTGGTTTTTTTAACTATTTATAGATGATAAGATTTTGGATATTTTTTTGTTTGCTTGAATGTTCTTTTGTCTTGAAAATATCAAATTTTTATAATATATATATATATATACATTAAACAATATTTCAATCTATTAAGATTTTCATTCAATGTATTTATTCTTGATGAATTAATTATTTTAAGTATAGCCAAATAAATTAGGAAAGGAAAATATATATATATATATAATACATATAAACCATTAACTTATGAATGTTATTTTTAATTCTTATTGTACATTCTAAATTATCAAAATATCAATTTTTTTAATTATATATATGAATCATACCTAAATTAAGTAAAATTCTTTTTTTTTATTTTTTTATTTCAAGTTGTGGTCAAATCACATGTATCTCTCTCTCTATATATAGAGATACATAAGTCATATTTTCCTACGTTTAGAATTCCAAGTTGAAACCATCAATTCAAATTTTATTTATATAGTAGGTATAATCCTATCCAGAAAACTCTCACCATGAACTTTAGTTTTTCCAAATATATACTTGAAAAACCAAACAGTATATAAAAAATAAATAAAATACAAAGCATTCAGAATATATAATTCCTGTGAACATTATATGGTATGGTGAAGTAAAGATTTTGGCTTGGGGAAACAAAAAAAATGCATTTATTAGGAGTGACTCATATGTTTTTTACGAAATAAAAATAAAATAAAATAACAGAAAATCCACAGTTTTGGCCATGTTTGTTGCTCATGGAATTGCATTCAACTAATTTTGACAGGATGGATATCTGTCGCATCACAAAACCCTAAACCCATGTCGGGGTCGTTCCATTGGAGCTTCTTCAATCTGTTCCCAGTTGCACCGTCGCTTCTCTCGAGAAGCATCGAATTCCTCTTACACCGATTTCAGTTTCCCTCTCCTGGTCCGTGTAAACTGGGAATTCAGCCATGCATTGGTCACGGAAGAGCGTCCTTTGTTTTTTTTCGATACTCTTCCTGGCAGACCATCGAGGAGTTTGGACGGCTCGATGATGTGGTCGTAATTGTAAGGGTTGTACGAATTCGAAGTTTGTTTAGATCCGGTTATCTCTTTGAGCTGAGGGGTCAGATACCAACGAAAACGCTGCAACCCACCTACCACATTTACGGACTGTACATGGATTCGCACCATGGAAGATGATGGCGGCTGTAGTAGAAAGTCAATCGGGAGAACAAAAGACCCACAGCGGCAAAGCTCACTTTTTTGTAGTTGCCCGGAAAGAGAGACCGCACCGCGTTTTCATCTGCGAAGTGCAGAAGATTCAATGCTGAGGAGCACCGCGATCGCATTAATGCACAGTTCCACGATTTCTGACCCTATCACAGAACGCCAAGGTTCGCCAGAGAGCGGATGGCCTTCCCCTCCCCAGCAACTGTGCAGGTGGGAACTGAAGGCAGCTACCGCATAGTCGTCGCGAAGACTTTTCTTTGTCCAAGGTACAAAGACTTCTGCTCTTCAAGCGCGATTGGCACTTTAGGAGGTCTAACGACAAGAACCATACTAGCCGCTACGTGCATCGGGATTCGGAGAGTGAGCTGGTGTTGCGCGACTTGCCTCAATGCTTTTTTGACCGACGCGCATGTGATGTGTATACTTTCAGCAAGCTGTTGCTAGTGTTCAGCCAAATGTATTAATAGTCCACCATTCGACGCAGCGGAAATATAGTGGTGATTTTGCAGAGGGTGCCCACACTGTACGTGAAGCTGAACTTCAAAGTGTGTTTTTGATTTTGATCTTTACATTGGTATCTCTTCGAGCTGAGGGGTCGGATTTTGCTTAGGAGTCGAGCAGTTTTAGGACACCAGCGGCGATGAAGTTCAGCCATGAATTGCCCATTGTGGAGGTCGGGATTGTAATTCTGTGCCTGGGTCTGTGGATGCCCATTGCGAGGGCTACTCATGGCGAGGTAGAGGCCCTGGATTTGGCCAAGCGCATGGCCATGACATCCATGAAAGAGTGGAGCGTCGTGGGGCCTGCAAAGGACAGGTTTCAGTACGAGCTCGGCGTGTATCTGGCCGGCATTGAGCTCGTCTGGGAAGCGACGGGCGACAGCAAGTACTTCGACTACATCAAGTTCAAAGTGGACCGCCATGTAATGGACAACGGCACCATCGCCGGCAACTACAACCTCACAGAGTTCAACATTGACAACATCATGACGGGCAGGCTCGTGCTCATGCTCTACAAAAAAACAGGCGACAGGAAATACAAGATCGCCGCGGACATTCTGCGGAAGCAGCTGCGGCAGCACCCTCGCATCCGGGAGGGTGGCTTCTGGCACAAGCTGGTTTACCCTTACCAGATGTGGCTGGACGGACTCTACATGGCGCAGCCATTCTACGCCGAGTACGCGAAGCTCTTTCACGAGGCCACGGTATTCGACGATGTTGCCTCACAGTTCATCATCATGGAGAGACGCTCCCGGGACTTCACTACCGGGCTTCTCTACCACGGTTACGACGAATCTCGTGTGCAAAACTGGTCGGATCCTAAGACCGGCCGCTCTCCGAGCTTCTGGGGTCGCGCAATGGGCTGGTACTTCATGGCCATCGTCGACACGCTCGACATTATTCCCAAGCACCACCCGAAACGAGCTCATCTCCTTGCAATCACCCGTAACATCGCGGTGGCCTTGACGAAAGTGCAAGATTCGAAATCTGGCTTGTGGTGGCAAGTCCTCGACAAACCGAACCAGAAGGGCAATTACCTTGAGTCCTCCGCCTCCGCCATGTTCGTATATTCGTATGCCAAAGGCGTTCGCAAGGGCTACCTCCCCCCAAAATACCTCAAGATCGCCAAGCAAGGCTACGCCGGCATCGTCTCGAACTTCATCACAGGAACTGCGGATGGCGGGGTGAATTACAATCGCATTGCAAGCGTGGGAGGCCTCGGGGGCACGCCATACCGCAATGGGACTTTCGAGTACTACATCAGCGAGCCGATCGCGACGAACGACCCGAAGGGCGTCGGTCCCTTCATGATGTGCAGTGTAGAAATGTCATACGCCTCAGTCTCCATGCGCCGCCCATGAAGTCAAATCGCCTCTTGGTTGTTTTTCTTACTTTCTGAGACGATTGGAGAAGCTCGCAACTAGGCCTGCATCAGCGGATTCAAGTGGACAAGCTGGACCCACCTGTGGTCATTCATTGCGGAGGTTGTTTTCGCTATAAAGGCTGCCATTGCGGCGGTGCGATTGCGGGTCACTTCGGCGACTCCATCGCCAAATTAAGGAGATGCAAAAGACAAGCTCCAGGAAGAGAAGCTACATCCACTTACACCTGCTTCTGCAAGCGTTGAGAGTCGAACCCAAGCAAAGTATAGAGAGAGAGAGGGAGAACAGATAAGTATAGAGAGAGGCTTGCATCTCGGTGTCCAACTTTCGTAAAACCTGGTTGGCATGGAGCAACAAAGGCGTTTGTTTTGGGGTGCCAAGCTTCAAACCCATCTCATAGAATGAATGCGATCTCTGACACCTCTGACATGTTTTATTCAACACAACACTCATGTCTGAATATTATAATTTAAAGAATTTTTCTACTTTTTATATTGCATTATTTACTTCTTTTGGAGAACAAAATGTTCTTACCATCTAATCAAAGTATATTGTTATTATAGTTTATATTACACAACATCATTTTGGTTCAAATTTCAAATTAACATTTCTGTTATTTATTTATTTATTCATTTATTTATTTATTTCATAAGGTATTGTAATTTTGTGAAATTTAAACTATGATTGATTCATCAACATTTATGCAATTCATATATAGTAATAGAAAAGTGACTTAGACCAATTAAAATATTGATGGGATTTTAGGAATTTAGATGGAAAAGTGAAATCACTACATCTTGACTAAATTAAAAATTTCAATTGAAAATGGAAATATTTTGAATCTTATCAAAGTGATTATTCTAACAAAAAAAGAAAAAAAAAGAAAAAAAGAAAAAAAAGAAAAAAAGACATATTTAATCTTCATAGCACTATCATAGAAATTATCATAAAATTAATCAAAAATAGTATATTAGAAGTTGGTGACATTGAAAAAGATAATGATATAATATTTGAGAAACTTGGTTAAAGATTGTGTTGTCTTTAGCGATGGCAATGACGAAATGTGATGCTGGAAGAGAAAATAATGACCTGAAAATATAGATCTCATTTCAATTAGCTCTTTAGATAGTATTTCTTACATCCTTTTCATTAATCTAATTTTTTTTACAAATTTTTTGCAAATATTGGGTTCACTTAATATGCAAAAAAGATATACAATAGTCTTAAGCAAACAATAATATGATGCAAATCTGGTTTCAATTAGCTCTTAGATAGTGATTCTTATATTCTTTTCACAGCTTTGAGTTGGTTATGGATCATTTGATAGCAATAGATTTACTTGGTGTATTTTGCTTTGATTTTATTATAATTCATCTATAAGCAAAAGAGAGAGAGAATGCCTCTTTGACATCTATACATGCAACTATGCTAGCTTCTTGATCAAGAAGAAAGGGATGAAGATCCAAGTCTGGTAGAAGTGGTAGAATTTGAAGTGAGGTTTCTTGAAGAATATTCGATTGTAGCAAACATGCTAGGCAACAAGTTGACTTCAATTGCATTCATGTTATGGCTGAGTAAATTCAATGCAAGGTTCTCTAGAGGATCAATAAAGGCCATCAAACTAATACAAAAAAATTCTTTTGTCTCAAGTCAAGTATTAAGGAGATTGCAATGCAAACATTGCTCTTAACTTTGTACCAAGAGATGGATACTATCTATGTTTTTTTAGCAATAGTTATCTTAGTTTGATTTGAGAAGTAGTAAAGGGATGTTTATTTTCAAATGGATAATATTGAAAAACCTCCTATGGAATTATAATACAATGGCATTGAACATTGTTGGTACCTTTGATAGAGTACTAAGAATGAATTCTAATAATAATTATAGCATTTAGGTTTTGTGTAGCAATTGAGTTAAGTTGGGATTGGAAGATTAAGCTAAAAATTGATGATTCAATGATTGGAAAAACAATTAAAGACTTAATAGATTATGCTAACCTTCTAATAAGATGCATGTATTATTTTGTAATAGATCACATGGTGAAAGACTGCCTACATTGATATAGACAATATGGAGGTCACTTACATAACACAAGATAAGAGCCTATAAGACACAATAAGAGAGTACAAGGTAATGATAGTATTCTAAATGAGGATGACTTTATTTTAATAAAAAAAAGAAAAAAAATACAAGACAGCCACCACAGCTTTAGAGCATTCTTAGTCACATGAAGCTCAAAAGAGCCATCACAATGCCATAAGCCAATGATTCAGAACAAAATTCTAAAGAAAGGTCATAAGGTTGAACATCAAACTTAGACACAACTCAATAATTTATCAACAACAAAGACAAAGAAAAAAAACTTTAGTCTTATTCACTAGAATTCTAATATTAACTATTTACAAGTACTTCAATCTATTAATAAGTTTGATAGATAAATTAACTATACTGTAGCACAAATAGCTCTATCAAATATATACATGGAAGTATAGATAAATGCCAATAAAAATTAGTCAACTTTGGACTTCATGCAATTCATTAGTGGCTTAAGGCCAAAGATTGGCATTACTAGTAGAAATCTCAACATTTCATCCATCAATCTAATAGCATTTACACAAACTTATTTTAATGAACATTAAGCAAAATGGCTAGAAGCACAATAGTTAATATCTTCAACATCTAATAGATTATGCAACAAGAGCAAAAGCAAGAGCCTTATACAAGAATGTCCCAATGAAGTTGTCATATAGCAAATATCATCATCTAATGCCAATAAAGGATAAAGATAAGGCAAAGATAGTACTAGCACAGCTAAGATCAATATCAAAGTATAATAATTAAGGCCATTAAATCAATTAAACCTTCTTCATATGTTACAAAAAAAATATATATAATTTTGTAGCCTATGACAAGGCCATGACATGCATATGTAATTTTTGAAGCATGTAATAGCCTTCAAGAGCATAAATTTTGTGGTGATTAGACTAAGGTACTTGAAAAAAGCTTATAGCCACAACCTATAAGTTAAATAATTGAAGTAGAGATTGATTTCAATATAGATGAGCATTTGGTATTATTGGTATAAGAAAAATGAGCATTTGTATATTATTATACAAAAAATTGGTCTCATTGGTGGTTAAACATGGAACATTCATGAATAATAGGATACTATGGATTTTGTTGAATAGACTACTAAGATGTAATCTAGGCCTCTCAAATATATATGCCTTAAATGACTCAAATTAAAAGATTATACTTTGACAAGAGATTGTAAGAAATATACCTTTAAATTGTTATAAGTTGGTAAGCAGCAATTTCAATATAGTGGAAAAAATCTAAAATAAGTTGTGAATGTACAGTCTTTTACTATCATAAAGAGAGCAAATAGTATCAAATAAGTTCAATAAAAGCTTCCATCTATGTGATTAGTTTCTATCATGGATACATTATATATAAGACCAAATAAAAAGTTGAGCCAAAAAGTTTCAATATGAAATTTAATAAGAACTTGATTAAAGTAGATGAATACAAAATCAATACTAAGAAGGTGAGCTAGAGTTCTAAGAGGTGTATTATTGAGACTGAGAATCTCTTTAGCCTTGATTCCTATATATATGAGGTCTTAGAAAGATTTTCAAGAAGTTTTCATGTTATTTGAAAATGAAGCAATCTTAAGAAGCTTTATAAGAATTTTCCATGTTATTTGAATATGAAGCAATTTTAAAAAGCTTTATAAGAAGTTTCCATGTTGTTTGAAGATAAAGCACTTCTAATATTTTTTTTCAAATAACTTATTTAATTTTTGTAGAACTTTCTAGAACCTATTAAAATATTTTAAGAATCTTTTAAAAATCTTTTTAAAAACTTTTAGAATCTTATATAATCTTTTAGAATATTCTAAGAATATTTATAAATCTTCTTATTGGATGTCTGTATCACGTCTTCTTCTAACTCTGAGTTCCACAAGGAGCATCGATTTTATATTTGTTTTCTTTGGTATATACAACATCCTTATGGTAGCTTGATGGAAAAGTCATTGTAAAATAGGTTTTGATTTGTAAGGATAGCATTGATGAAACTTTTGTATCTTTTTTGGTACATTAATTAAATTTACTATTGATTCCTATATATGCTTATTGATATTGTAGCCGAGCCAATGAATAAAATACTCTAACTTGCCTCTTTTTTGTTGAAAATTAAGGAACTTTTCTATCTCATGTTTCACATGATTATCTATTTCAAAGCAAGGCAATGATGGTTGTATTCTTTCTATAATAATTGATTCTAAATAAGCCTCTAAGAGAGAAACATGAAAGATTGGATATAACTTTATAGATGTGGGTAGTTCCAATTGATAAGCCAATATATTGATTTTTTTTTTAATACAAAATGGTCCTAGTCTTTGATAATCTAACTTATTGCAAGGTCAATTGGTCTTGATATTTAGTTGAAGAAGCCATACTTTATTTTCAACTTAAAAATGAAGAAGTTATTTTCTAAATTCATTTAAAGATGCTTTATAAGAAACTTGAGCTACTTGTAAGTGGAGCTTCAAAGTTGTGTGGAGCTGTGACAATTATTTTACAAAATCTTTAACTATTGGATTTCCATTCTTTGATATATCAAACAAATCAAGCTTTAGATGGTAATCATAATTAGAGTAAAATAGTGTTTATTGAATCAAAGCATGAATAATATTATTATAAGAAAAATTTACTAAAAATAAATATAAGGTCCAATCATCTTATTAATAGTTAATGGTACATTACAAATACTACTCCAAAACTTGATTGACTTATTTTTTTTGACCATATGTTTGAAGATGAAAGACAAAGAAAAGTTAGATATCAATCTTCAATATCTCAAAAAATGATTTCTAAAAATTTGATATAAATTAAGTTCTTCGATAAAAAATGATGTCATTAGGTAGGCCATGATGTCGATATATATTATCAAAAAAGGATCTTGCTATTTTTTCT